AAAAACAAAAACAAACAAACAAACAAATCACGCTTGAGGTTTTGTGAATTTGAAAAGAAAAAGATTTTGATTTTAACTAAAAATTTTAATTACATGTAGTACTATAATTAATTACATTTGATTACATGTGATGCAATTTTTAATTAAAGTTTATGCAAATAAAAATAACAACATGTGTTTAATATCATTTGTGTAAATAATAGCATTGTTTAATATTAAAAAATAACATCATACACAATTAAAATTAACGTTATATTCAGTTCTCATGGTCAGTGTTTTAAATACCGTACCAGTGGTCATACCGGTCTAGCCACCAGTACGCGGTATTACCGGTCGGACCGGTAATATCGGTGGTATAACCAGATTAGCAAATATAATAATAAATATAAATATACATACAAATATTTAATACCAAATGCACTAAAGTAAAAAAAAAATAAATGACCATAATCATTAATTTCAACTTTTCAATGAAATAAAAATAAAATATTTTAACTACCAATTTAATTTTTTTTTAAATTAAAAAATTTTATTTTTTTTTTATTTTTTTAATTAACCGGTATTTTGCGGTTCTTACGATATGATCCCAGTACAAACCGGTATAACCGTAGATCCAGTATTTTGAGTGTATTTGTACTGCACCAATGGCCGGTATCCGATATTACCGCCGTACAGTACAGTATTTAAAACATGGCTCATGGTTACCACACCATTACTTATTTTTATTTGAACCATATCATCTATGTAAATAATAGCACTGTGTAATATTAAAAATAACATCATTCACAATTAAAAATAACATTATATTCAGTCCATCACTTGATTTTACTCGAACCATATCATCTATGTAAATAATAGCACTGTGTAGTAATAAAAATTACATCATACACAATTAAAAATAACATTATATTCAGTCCATCACTTGTTTTTACTCGAACCATATCATCTGTGTAATATTAAAAATAACATCATACACGATTATAAATAACATTATATTCAATTCTCATGGTTATCACACCATAACTTGTTTTTATTTGAATAAAACATCAGTAATATGAGCTCATATATGAGCTGGTAGAGTAAGAACATTTAGAAAGTATTAGGTAAAGTATATAATCTTTCCCCTTAGTACACAATAATTGGATATCATGTTCACCACTTCTAACATTTGAGCATTACTTAATGTTAGCACCAAAGATTCTTGCTTTCCCAGCAACTACACACACACACACATAGTGGGATTAAAAGAGTGATAAAGTCAAGGTCATAATACTTAAGTACACTTGCCAACTAGTTTGAGCTTTTAGCCAAACTTTAAAAACAAGAGTGCTTGCCTACTAGCACATATCATTTGATGTTGAAGTTGATATTCAAAGATGCTGGTAAATTAAAAACTCCCGAATGCTAACAACTAATCGAAAAAGTGATGCAGTTGATCGAATACAACTATATAAGCCAAGGTTCGGAATAAGCGTTCTCGTTTAATAACAGAATACATTAACAAATACCTTATACATACCAAGCCTCCTCATAAATCAACGTTTGTTTGACAAAATCCTACATGAGAACCAAAACTAGTGAATAGAATATATCTGGATATACATTCGTGCATAGATGAATATGCTTGCATGGTATTGAAAACTTCAGTGGCACAAGCTTGTTATATATTTCGCAATTCAAGTCATACAAGACCTCTGTAAGTTCTACACAAGTCAAATCAGCAATAAAAATGTTCCAACAAGGCCTTAAAGTCGTTTGGCTTTTCATTGTAAACTTGATAATTGACAAAAGAAAGCCTAGCCACTGTGAATAGTTACTATGTGTGGTGAATTATTCACGTTACGCGCAAACGACAAGGAACTTCAACTTTACAAAAGCATGTGATTGTTGTAATTATAACAAATATGGAGCAACTCTCAGAGATAGTTGATCATGCTGTAAAAATTAAAAATGTTTAATTGAAGCAAACTACAGAAACATGACTAGTTTTTAAGTATCTCCTGGAGAATAATCTTGCTAGCTGCAAGTGCGAGCAAGACACGTACGGTGGTAATCTTTGCCAGACCGTACTGCTGTGAGAACCCTCAAGCCACTAGGCGAGAAGCCACAAGGTTATTGAAGCACGAGAGCCTGCCCGCCCTTGCCTCGCCACAAACATCAAACCGATGAAGTAAAAATTTTGGTGGATAAGGATCCCGTAAAAACTTATTTCGAGGAATGGGCCAAACCGGGTCATTTCTAATAATAACATCTAATAAATATATGAAGTGTTTGAAAACACTGCTCTTTAAGATGAAGTGGTTTTTATTTGAGAGGAAGGCCAAAGACCTCGTTCAGAATCAGAAGTTGGTAATGTATATAAGATAACATGGATTATATGAAAGCTTGCTGGGCCTGTTTTAAAAAGGTTTCAATTTTTTGTGTGAAAAAAACCTCTGCTCCGACATTGAAGTTCTGTAAGAGAAATCGAGCCAAAAGAGAGAAATTGGTATTGGTAACAACTAAAATGTGGTTAAGTTTTTCCAGCTATAACCTAAGAATATAACTATTATAAGTACTTGGTCCTGTCACTGGAAGTCTAGGCCTAGTTCAGTATAAGTCTCAGTTTTAAGATAGGCTAATTTTATCCAAACAACCCAAAGTTAAATCAGCTCCATATTTTAAGCTGAAAAGAAAATTTGTATATTTGACAGCCTAACTCAATAATCAGTCCCTCACCCGGTGGGATAGTTCTAGAGGAAAGTTGTTGGATAGTTCTAGAGGAAAGTTGTACTTTCTCAAATAATGATTCCGGTGACCAATTAATCACACAACGGGGAAATACTTATTACCATACACACCGCATAACAAAAAACAAAAAAACAAAAGAAGGAGAGAAATTAAAAAGAAGGATCTTGTCCGAGTTACTTTAGAGAATGCTTTTTCTCAGTTAGCATACACGGTCAACCTCACTCGAGCTGTAACTTCTGGATGGAGCTTTATCTCTGCAACATATTCCCCGACTTCTCTAATATCAGGAAGTGTAACAAGTCTTTTGTCCACATCCCTACAAAAGAAAAACATGAAATGTGTTTAACTACAGGTTTACTAAAGTATATTTTTCAAACACTCCAGAAAAAAGTACAACCTTTTCGGCAGTTCAAAAATTGACCAAACAAACTTTCAGTCAAAATAGCAACCAGAAAAAATATGCATGACATGATTTATGAACTTAACCCTAAAGAAAAGGGAGAAGAGGGGATGGTGCATTTATGAACAAGAATTTTCATGAATATGGAACATATCATAAAAGGTCTGCATACTCTCCGACCCAAAAAGTGCAAACAAAAGGAGTATACCGTCAGCACTCAGCAATATATGACGAAACCAATCCATAAGGCACAGTGAAACCTAAAAAATCAATTCATACTTCATATTTTTTAATGAGTTGGAGATTTTCTCACAAGACACGAATAGGCATGAATTGGAAATTTGAGAAAAATAGTACCTCTGGAGCTGGGCCTTGATTATGTCAACAAGATCTTGAACTGTGACACTGTCGTCATACGTATACATCAGTTGTTGAGTTCAATATATATATATATATATATAGGGAAAAATCTTGTTGCATGTTATGAAAAAATCGACTTAAGTTGCCAACCTTCCAAAAATTTGTTTTCCCTTCCCACCCTTTCGCTTCACCTTGAAAGCTCCAACTGTCTGGAAAACCCGAGCAAGCTGTTGTGCCTCTTCTTTCACCTAAAGACAAGATTAAAAGAGGAAAGTAACCACATGTTGTAAGGCCACATACTCCACGAGAGTTTCAAGAAAATGTAACTCCACTAAAATCAGGCAAGTGAAACACGATTGATGGTTCAGTCTAACTACGAGAACTAATGGAATACAGACAATGTACATCATGCAACTATGAATAATACAGTTAGTTATATTCTATTATTCTGAAATTGGTGGAGAATTGACAAAACCAAGTCAATCTGTTAAATGCCGGACTAATGATCAAAGATCCCACCTTTTCATCCCCTACTTCTACAGTAAAGCGGTAAAATTTTATTTTTCAGGTATTCGGATTGTTTTATAAATAACTATATGATAACAATTTATTGAAGAATTTAATATTATGTGGAACTAGCTAAAGACATGTAACTACAATATTGAAAGGAACATACGCAAATCGTTTTCGAAATAGAATGATTCAAGCAAGTATATATATATATATATATTGAAAGTTACCCTCAAGACATGTTACCGTTCAGATATGAGGTTTGAAATTAATATACATTATAAATAAAAATCTGGAAATGGGTCGAACTCCTTACACGTCTTTTCTCTGCCTCAATTCTCTCCTCCTCCATCTTCATTTCCCTGATGAAGAATTAAAAAAAAAAAATAGAAAATAAAACGATAAATTGAGCTCCAAATGCCAAGAATCATATCATGAGAGAACTCATTCTTGTTGTTCACAAGAGAGGTAATAAATCTATTCACCCCTGTGTCTTCAACTTAAAACCTATGCTACCTGGACACGGATATGGGTGGCTTATCGGGTGTGGAGATATGAGCGTCCGACTCGTCAATAGTTTAGAAATCTTGAACATTTTAGGCTAAAATGCCACACCCGACACTCATACCCACACCAGTGTCGACACAACATGACACGGGTATTCTTCATAAATAGAAGAGTCCGGTTAACATAGCTTATAACTATCTTACAAACAAGAACACTAATAAGCCTGCAACCCTACTATACGAGGTCGGCTATGATTTCAGAAAACGGCCATCAACAAGTAAACTATTGTCACCTCCTCACATTATTTTATCAACTAAAGGAACCCATCAAAGTAAATTACAAGTAACAACAAAAAGGAGAGATAATTACTTAATAAGTTGAGGAGTCACGATTTGGGCCATGCCCATCGGCAGCAGATAATTCCTAAGATATCCAGCTCTCACCTTCGTCAGCTGCCCCTTTTTCCCCAATTTCGACACGTCCTCCTTCAATATAACCTGAACCCAAATGAAATGATAACAAGTTGAACAGAATTTAAAAATAAAAGGACAAAATTAGTTAAAAGTAGCAGCACAATGTCTAGAGTAAATGATTTTCGCGTAACCTTGTGAAATTTCTTGACTTTCTTTTGAGCAACAACAGTCAAAAGTGGGACTCTAACAGAACCTCTCAATGTCTCTGAGCTCGCATTGTTTGAGAAGCTGCGATTTTGAAACCACAGAGACGATGCCCATGAGGATGAGAGACTCGTAGAAGCCATTGCCGTGAATGTGTACTCTCGCCTTCGACTGTAATTTTGCCGTCTTCCGTTGCTTTTGTGCGCACTAAATAATCTTATCCGTCTGCCGATTGATAGTTGGAGCGAAGGGAATTAAAGGTGGGTAACAAATATGATATATATTGTGAATTGCTATTTACCGCCTCTTTTTACGAAAATACTTTTTACCACTTTCTCTCTCTACTCTCTCTATTCTCTCTTTATCTCTCTAAAATTTTGCCTTCAACGAGTCATTCGTACTTCGAAAAAAATTCGAAAAAAATATCGAAAAAATCTGTTGAGAATGAAGGGCGTATTCTAAAAAACGCATACAATCGGGCCGGCGAGCTCAACTCAAGAAGGCTAGCCTTGAAGCAGGTACAGGAGATCTGATGTCCTTGCAGCAGATTTTTGCAACATGTTTCCACGCCGCGGAGGACACCACGCCGCGCTATTGCACCACCTTCGCGCCGCAAAGGATTCAACGCCGCGAGCTCACCACCCACCACGTCGCGGAGCAAGTCGTGAAGGGCTCCACGGGCCTTCAGAGCAACCATTCTGCGTACCACGCTGTGAGGAACGTCGCGTCGCGACACCGGGCCAAAGCTACACGCCGTGATGAGTACCGTGCCGCGAGGGAGAGGGAGACGTGAACGAGCAGCAGTTTATTTTATTGTCGCAGCTTTTAATCGCTATTTTATTTATTTATTTTCCTTGCAGTTTATTTTAGTTTCCTAGTACTAGTAGGAGTTATTTTCTCTTTTGGCCAGATAAAAGGCCTGTACGTGAAAAGAACAGTTATCTTTTGAAAATCATAAATCAGAAAACGCTCGTCTTGAGCACAAAATCTCGAGTTAACCGACGGCCAATTAGCGCGGGTTTACACAAGTTCTTCGTTAATTTCTTATAATCGATACACGATCATAACATTGGTGCTTTCATTGAGAGACACCGATCGTGTATCCATGTCGAATCGCGAGAGAATCGATCGTTTGGAGGAGAGCGTACGTTCTATCAACGAGGACGTACAATCAACAAATCAAGTGGTGGCCAGAATCGAAAGGATGTTACTGCAAAACGCAGCCAGGAAGGCTAGGAGGAACAATTCCGATTCTTCGTCTGAAGGAGAATCTGACGCGAGTAGTGAAGCCGAATTCCACAATGGATTCGCAGATGAGGATGATGCTCGTTCAAGAGGATCGAATCAACGGGAACGCCGTAAGAATGAAAAACCCAAAGTTAGCTTACCAACATTCAATGGTACGGACCCTGATTCGTGGCTAAATCGAGCCAGCCAGTACTTTAAATTAATGAGGTTCCGAGAAAGGAAAGAGTTAAAATTGCAGCGTATTATCTCGATGGAGAGACGAATGTATGGTGGCGCTGGATATCGAGAGTCTACAAAAAGAAGAACCTCCCTATTCATTGGAGACAGTTCGAAAAAGAACTGATGACGAGGTTTGGTGAATCCGATTTCCATGACTTTGATGAAACTCTTTCACACATCAAACAGGTCGGGAGTTTGCGGGATTACCAGAAGGAATTTGAACGAATAGTAAGCCGCGTTCGTGATTGGCCTCAGAGTGCGTTGATTGGAGCATTTGTAGGAGGCTTGAGGGTAGAGCTTGCAGTTGAGGTTCGATTGGAGAGACCGAGAACACTACGTGTCGCAACTGAAGCTGCTCGAATGCGTGAAGATCATTTGTTGGCCGTGAAGAGGGCAATCGCCCGGAGATGCGTCGTCCCAGTACTTTTTCGGTTCGCACATCAGGAGCTAGAGAGGGAACCGTAGCCAAAAATACGAAACTGATACCATCGGGGGTCCGACGTTTGTCATGGGATGAGATGCAGCGAAAGAGAGAGAAGGGTCTATGTTTTAATTGTGATAAAAAATTTGTGCCTGGGCATAGATGTAAAATGAAGCAATCCCTTCTGATTGAGTTCGAGGCTAGTGAAGAAGATGAAGAAGAGGTAGACGAGCCCAAGTACGACATCGATACATACGTGGATGATCCCGAGATCTCGGTTCATGCAATGGCAGGAACTCAAAGACCCAAGACGGTGAGGTTGTCGGCGTGGGTCCGAGATAGACGAGTAGTGGTGCTAGTGGATAATGGTTCGTCCCACAATTTCAATAACTCTACCTTGTCTAATAAATTGAATTTACCGGTGACTAAGGTGGAACCTTTTGATGTGAGGGTGGCTAATGGGGATCGATTGAGATGTTCGGAGATATTGAAAGATGTGCCTATCAAGGTACAAGGGGTAATTTTAAAAGTTGACCTTTATGCTTTGACATTAGTTGGACCAGATGTTGTGTTAGGTGTGCAATGGTTGGAAGGGTTGGGCCCGGTAACTACAGACTATAAGGTTGGCACCATGGCATTTCGTTGGGGCAACGGGATGGTCAAGTTGTCTGCCGGAGTTAACGAAGGAGCAAAGAAGGCTAATCTGAAGAATATGGAGAAACTGTGGAAAGGGGGTAGCCAGCTCTTTGCTATCAAGATGGATGAGGCAGAGAAAGAGCTCGAGACTAAGCCACATTATGATCGGGAGATACAAAATTTACTGGACCAGTTTGGAGAGGTGATGAACGAACCGAGGGGTCTTCTTCCAAGGTGAACTTTCGATCATCATATTCCTTTAAAAGATGAGAATTAGACGGTACATGTTCACCTCTATCGGTATGCACATTTCCAGAAGACGGAGATCGAGAAACAAGTCCGGGAAATGCTTGATACCGGACTAATCAGGCACAATTCAAGCCCAATCTCTTCTCCGGTGTTATTAGCTAAGAAGAAGGACGGGACTTAGCGTTTTTGTACCGATTATCGGGCTTTGAATGCTGCTACCATAAAGGACTGGTTTCCAATCCCCAGTATTGATGATATGTTGGATGAACTGGGAGGATCAAAATATTTTTCGAAGCTGGATTTAAGGGTTGGATACCATCAGATAAGAGTAGCTGAAGACGACATTCCGAAGATGGCGGTTCGTACTCACCAAGGACACTACGAGTATTTGGTAATGCCCTTTGGATTATGTAATGCCCCGTCAACTTTTCAGTTTGCTATGAATTCCATCTTTCGAGATCACTTGCGAAAAATTGTTTTGGTATTTATTGATGACATCTTGGTATATTCGAAAACTTGGAGTGATCATCTCGATCATCTGAAATTGGTAATGAGTATCTTGGCGGCGAATGATTTCCACATCAAACCGTCAAAGTGCTCCTTTGGCCAGGAGTCGGTGGAATATTTGGGGCACATAATTTCGTATGAGGGTGTGAAAGTGGATCCTCGAAAATTGAGGCAATGCAAGAGTGGCCAAAACTGAAGAGCTTGACCGAATTGAGAGGATTTCTAGGACTGACCAGCTATTATCGAGAATTTGTCAAGGATTATGGTTCAATTGCTAAGCCCTTAACGGACATGACCAAAAAGGGGGGATTCAAATGGACGGTGGCAAGTGAACAAGCGTTTGACCAGCTCAAATTGGCTATGACTACTACTCCCGTCTTAGCCATGCCTAAATTTGACGTGATGTTTGAGGTACACACCGATGCCAGTGATATAGGAATTGGTGTTGTTCTCTCACAAGAGAATCGACCGATCGCTTATTTGAGCAAGGCATTGGGAAGCATGCACGTGGGGTGGTCAGTATACGTGAAAGAAATGCTCGCCATCATTGAGGCAATAAGGGTCTGGAGGTCGTACATTTTGGGTCAACATTTCATGATTGTGACGGATCAGCAGCCTCTGAAGCATTTGCTAGAGCAACGCATAGTGACCCTGGAGCAACAGAAATTTGTATTAAAGCTGATGGGGTTTGATTTCGAGATTTGCTATCGTCCGGGACAACAAAACTTGGTGGCGGACGCACTGTCTCGTCGCACTGATGTAGCGGAACTCCAAGCCATTTCCGGCCCGACTTGGGTTATTTGGGATCAACTTCGGGAGGTGCATGCTCAAGATACCTTCTGTAATGAGACCCGGCGACTTATGGAGGTAGAAGATGCAGAGGCTCAACACTATGAAATGTATGATGGGCTATTGATGTTAAAAGAAAAGTTGTACGTTCCGGAAATGGGTGACTTGAGGATTTCGATCATTCGGTACTTTCATGATTCAAAAGTGGGAGGTCATTCCGGGATATACCGCACATGGGCGAGACTGGCGAATACCTTTTATTGGTCGGGTTCGTGGCGAAGTGTTCTGTTTGTTAACAGGTGAAAGCGGATTCACGAAAACCAAGTGGCTTGTTGCAACCCCTACCAATTCCCAATCGCATATGGGAAGATATCTCGATGGACTTCATCGAAGGATTACCAAAGTCCAATGGGTTCAATGGAATTACGGTGGTGGTAGATCGACTCACCAAGTACGCTCACTTTATTCCGTTGACACATCCATATACAGCTAAATCCATATTTAAGCTGTTTGTGGAGTTTGTGGTGAAGCTGCATGGAGTACCATGATCTATTGTATCTGATCGAGACCGGATTTTCATGAGCCACTTTTGGAGGGAATTATTAAAGATGCAAGGGACCGAATTAGCTATGAGCTCAGCATACCATCCTCAGACGGACGGCCAAACTGAGGTAACTAACCGCACACTAGAACAGTACCTACGGTGTTATGTTCATCAATTTCCTACAAAATGGGAGGGGTTCTTGCCTTGGGCTGAATTTAGGTACAATACCATTTTTCATGCTTCTACCAAATTCACCCCTTTTGAGTTGGTTTATGGACGAGCAGTTCCAACGCTTATTAGTTATCTAGTGGGAAAGTCTCCTAATGTAGAAGTCGATCGTGAGTTAATGGAGCGGGATTTGTTAATCAGGGAGCTTAAGAAAAATTTAGCAGGGTCCATTAACAAAATGAAGGAGTACTATGATAAGGGACGTCGGGAAGAGAGATTTGAAGCAGGTTATTGGGTCTATCTCAAGCTGAGACCACACTGTCAACAAACAATTTCTCAGACGGCATTGTACAAGCTAGAAG